GATTATGAATAGACGTGACTACCAACGCCACACGGAAGGAACTATAAGACAGGAGACAGAAGGTTGTGGATAGACGTGACTACCAACGCAACACGGAAGGGACTATAAGACAGAAGACAGTTGTGGATAGACGACACCAACGCCACAGATTATGACAGGAATAGACGTGACTACCAACGCCACACGGAAGGGACTATAAGACAGGAGACAGAAGGTTGTGGATAGACGTGACTACCAACGCCACACGGAAGGGACTATAAGACCAGAGACAGAAGGTTGTGGATAGACGTGACTACCAACGCCACACGGAAGGGACTATAAGACAGGAGACAGAAGGTTGTGGATAGACGTGACTACCAACGCCACACGGAAGGGACTATAAGAAGAAGACAGGAGACAGAAGGCTGTGGATAGACGTGACTACCAACGCCACACGGAAGGGACTATAAGACAGGAGACTGCAGGTTGTGGATAGACGTGACTACCAACGCCACACGGAAGGGACTATAAGACAGGAGACTGCAGGCTGTGGATAGACCTGGTCACAAGTTGTATGTGCAAGGGTGCACTACTGTGCATGTTAAACTGATGAGCATTGTATGTATGTGTAAGTGTACGTATATGTGTGTGTATGTGTATGATATCTGCGCTGTGCACTGTACGTCGAGGGTTCACTTACACTGAATGTTTTATTTCATACAAGTAAGATGGATCTCAAATCTGCGTGTGTAATGAATGTGTGCGTGTGTAATGAATGTGTGCGTGTGTAATGAATGTGTGCGTGTGTAATGAATGTGTGCGTGTGTAATGAATGTGTGCGTGTGTAATGAATGTGTGCGTGTGTGTTTTGATTCATTGCTAGGCATGCATAAGAGGGTGACATAAAAAGTTGGAGTGCGGAAGTACGCGACCAGCAAAGGAACAATAAAAATATTCTCTGCATTCGATTGTGGCGGGTAAGACAAGCAGACATACAGACATATAAACAGGCAGATATCACATATGCTGACAGTCAGACCGGACATAAAGACAAATATGTGAACAGACAGATGGAGAGAGTCATAAAGACGGGTAGACAGGTGGACAAACAGTAAAACAGACAAGTAGACAGGTGGACGAAAAGTTAGACAGACAGGTAGACAGGTGGACAAACAGTAAAACAGACAAGTAGACAGGTGGACGAAAAGTTAGACAGACAGGTAGACAGGTGGACAAACAGTAAAACAGACAAGTAGACAGGTGGACGAAAAGTTAGACAGACAGGTAGACAGGTGGGACAAACAGTAAAAACAGACAAGTAGACAGGTGGACGAAAAGTTAGACAGACAGGTAGACAGGTGGACGAACAGTAAAACAGACAAGTAGACAGGTGGACGAAAAGTTAGACAGACAGGTAGACAGGTGGACAAACAGTAAAACAGACAAGTAGACAGGTGGACGAAAAGTTAGACAGACAGGTAGACAGGTGGACAAACAGTAAAACAGACAAGTAGACAGGTGGACGAAAAGTTAGACAGACAGGTAGACTGGCGGAAGCAAAATCAGACAGCAATATGACAGGCAGACAGACATACAGATACGTAAGTAGATAGATAGACAGACAATCAAACAGACTGTCCAGAGACCAATGTGTGATCTAACGGGGGGGGGGGGGGGTTTAACATACACACTAGGATTGAAAGACGGACGGAGGATCAACAGGAAAGACAGACAATGAAACAGACAGACAGACAAACAAAGAGAACGTGTGTGGGGACGGTGCTGTCAGTCGGATGTACAACGGCTAGGAATGCAGAAGGCAGATCTGAGGGGGTGGGGCCTCAGCTCTCACGTGACATGTCAAGAAGACTGTATATCTCGGCGTGTCACCTGTCGGCTTGACTGGGTGAGACCGCCAGAGCAAACAAATACGCTTGTTTAGGGCTCCCTGGCAGATGGGGAGGAGGGAGGTCGGCCGGGGGCATGCAAGGGCTGATGAGCGATTAAAAAAAAAGGGGGGGGGGAGCAACTGAACTTTCATCAGCAAGGGGGTAAACAATCACTGGGCTTCAAATGGAGAGGGGCGGAGAGAGTGTGGAGAGAGAAGGGAGAGCCAGTCGGAGAAAGGGCAGCAAAGACAGGGAGGTGGAAAAAGACGGGAAGAAAGTGGAGAGGAAAGACGGATATGGAGAGCAAGAAGATATTGAAAGGAAAAAAGGGATTCAACGAGGGAAAGAGAACAAGAGAAGGAGGTGGGAAGAAGGTGAAAGACAGAATGACGTAAAAGCGTGAAATGGGAAGGGAAGGAGAGAAAGGAGGAAGGAAAAGAATGAAAAGATATGAAGATGCAGAGAAAAAGAGACAGATAGGCAAACAGTGGCGGTGGGAGCGGCAAGGGGACGAGAAAAATAATGCAGGAGGGACAAATGAAAAACCACAAAAGATGGAAGAATTAGAGAACAGTAGTGAAACAGATCGACTGAGAGAAAGGCGGAAAGAAAGGAATGAATACTGAGTTGGGGAGGGGGGGGGGATGAAAAAAAGCGATCGAAAAAAAAGGGTGATGGTGGACTAGACAGGGGGGAAGAAAGAAGAGACACAGTTGAGGGAAGAGAAGAAGTGAGAGATGAGAAATCAGATAAAATGGAAAGAGACAGGTGGAGAAAGTAGAGACGGGGGTAAGAGATGCAGACAGAGAGAGAGCGAACGAACGAACAAATATTATTTTCAAAGGGTTACAAATTAGGCACGCTGGCCCGTCTGACATTCGGCCCTTCAAATAAGTCATTTTTCAGAGAACCAATGCATGTTATAAATAATGCATGTTATGGATGTAATAAAGAAATTTACATTATGGAATAATGCATACACACATCATGTGTACACAATCTTTCACACTCAAACACACACACATGTATACATACTCTTAAATTCTCATACATGCACACTCATATACAGACATATGTAATATATACATACACGCATCTACATACACACAAACATAAAACACACATACATAAATAGAAATACATGCCAAACATAAAATACACACATACACATACATAGACATACATGCAGACACACATTCCATACATACACACCTACACACACAAGCATGCATACACACACATACAATCACATATACAGACACCCACAACCACACATGTACACTCACATGCATAAATACACAAACATGCATGCATAAATACATACAGCACACATACATGCATACACACATACACACATCTATACATACACTCACATCTTTACACACATACATACATACTTGCAGAAATACCTAAATATACACATACATACTTACACAGCCACATATGCATACATACATCCACCAACATGCATACATACACACATAGATACATACATATATGCATGCATACATACACCCACATACATTGCAACCACATGCATGTATACACACATATACAATCACACATACAGCTAGCCACATACATGCAAACACACACGCATACCTGCATACATACAAACTTGCATACATTATATACACTCACGCCCACAATCACACATACACCCACATACTTACAACATACATACATAAATACATACATAAATACACACATTTACAAACCTTAATATACATACATATATCCACATACATTCACACACACCCAAAATCACACCCAGATAATACATACATATATACTTACATACATACACACACATAGATACTTTATACATGCATACACATCCATTATAATACCCACATACTCATACAACTGCATATATCTACATACATCCACATACATACATAAATACACACACACATATGTGTGTCTTTATGGACATGGATGGACAACATTAAAGTGTGTCTTCATGGACATGGATGGACAACATTAAAGTGTGTCTTCATGGACATGGATGGACAACATTAAAGTGTGTCTTCATGGACATGGATGACAACATTAAAGTGTGTCTTCATGGACATGGATGGACAACATTAAAGTGTGTCTTCATGGACATGGATGACAACATTAAAGTGTGTCTTCATGGACATGGAACAGACAAGAGCCATTGCTGCCAGGTAGCAAACTGTTTCTCCACAAATCACTTAACGGCAGAAGTGAAAATAGATGATGATGATCCACATGGTGTCTGTCATACTGTTTCATGCAAGAAACACCTGGACACAAACAACACTTGCCTTCCTTACACCTGGACACACAAAACTCACCTTCCTTACACCTGGACACAAACACCACTTACTTTCCTTACCTCTGAACACACACAAACTTACCTTCCTTACACCTGGACACATACAACACTTACCTTCATCACACCTGGACACACACACAACACTTACCTTCCTTACACCTGGACACACACAACACTTACCTTCCTTACACCTAGACACACAACACTTACTTTCCTCACACCTGGTCACACACAACACTTACCTTTCTTACACCTGGACACACACAACACTTACTTACCTTACACCTGGTCACACACAACACTTACCTTTCTTACACCTGGACACACACAACACTTACTTACCTTACACCTGGTCACACACAACACTTACCTTTCTTACACCTGGACACACACAACACTTACTTACCTTACACCTGGACACACACAACACTTACCTTCCTTACACCTGGACACACACAGCACTTACTTACCTTACACCTGGACACACACAACACTTTCTTACCTTACACCTGGACACACACAACACTTACCTTCCTTACACCTGGACACACACAACACTCACTTACCTACCTTACACCTGGACACACAACCCTCACTTACCTTCCTTACACTTGGACACACACAACAGTTACCTTCCTTACACCTGGACACACACAACACTCACTTACCTACCTTACACCTGGACACACAACACTCACTTACCTTCCTTACACCTGAACACACACAACACTTACCTTCCTTACACCTGGACACACACAACACTTACCTTCCTTACACCTGGACACACACAACACTTACCTTCCTTACACCTGGACACACACAACACTTACCTTCCTTACACCTGGCCCGACCTGAGGCTGCCTCATCACTGAAATCGCCACAGTGGTCAACCCCGTCACAGATCAAAGCCTCGTCCACACACAGCTTGTTTTCACACTGGAAGCTGGACCCACAGGAGCTAAACTTGTCCCCATCTGGAAGCACAACAACAGAGGATGGGAAACAACAGAGGATGGGAAAACAACAGAGGATGGTAAACAACAGAAACAACAGAGGATGGGAAACAACAGAGGATGGGAAACAACAGAGGATGGTAAACAACAGAAGATGGGAAACAGAACATTCTAGAGATCCTCGCTTCATTCACATGACGGAAGTGACAAGTGGCATTTAGGACAGTTGATGAACATTGAAACAGTGCAAAGGTATTGTTTAGGACAGTTGATGAACATTGAAACAGTGCAAAGGTATTGTTTAGGACAGTTGATGAACATTGAAACAGTGCAGAGGTATTGTTTAGGACAGTTGATGAACACTGAAACAGTGCAGAGGTATTGTTTAGGACAGTTGATGAACATTGAAACAGTGCAAAGGTATTGTTTAGGACAGTTGTTGAACATTGAAACAGTGCAGAGGTATTGTTTAGGACAGTTGATGAACATTGAAACAGTGCAAAGGTATTGTTTAGGACAGTTGATGAACATTGAAACAGTGTACAGGTATTGTTTAGGACAGTTGATGAACATTGAAACAGTGCAGAGGTATTGTTTAGGACAGTTGATGAACATTGAAACAGTGTACAGGTATTGTTTAGGACAGTTGATGAACATTGAAACAGTGCACAGGTATGGTTTAGGACAGTTGATGAACATTGAAACAGTGCAGAGGTATTGTTTAGGACAGTTGATGAACATTGAAACAGTGCAAAGGTATTGTTTAGGACAGTTGATGAACATTGAAACAGTGCACAGGTATTGTTTAGGACAGTTGATGAACATTGAAACAGTGCACATGTATTGTTTAGGACAGTTGATGAGCATCGAAACAGTGCACATGTATTGTTTAGGACAGTTGATGAACATTGAAACAGTGCAAAGGTATTGTTTAGGACAGTTGATGAACATTGAAACAGTGCAAAGGTATTGTTTAGGACAGTTGATGAACATTGAAACAGTGCAGAGGTATTGTTTAGGACAGTTGATGAACATTGAAACAGTGCAGAGGTATTGTTTAGGACAGTTGATGAACATTGAAACAGTGCACAGGTATTGTTTAGGACAGTTGATGAACATTGAAACAGTGCACAGGTATTGTTTAGGACAGTTGATGAACATTAAAACAGTGCAAAGGTATTGTTTAGGACAGTTGATGAACATTGAAACAGTGCAAAGGTATTGTTTAGGACAGTTGATGAACATTGAAACAGTGTACAGGTATTGTTTAGGACAGTTGATGAACATTGAAACAGTGCACAGGTATTGTTTAGGACAGTTGATGAACATTGAAACAGTGCACAGGTATTGTTTAGGACAGTTGATGAACATTGAAACAGTGCAAAGGTATTGTTTAGGACAGTTGATGAACATTGAAACAGTGCAAAGGTATTGTTTAGGACAGTTGATGAACATTGAAACAGTGCACAGGTATTGTTTAGGACAGTTGCTGAACATTGAAACAGTGCACAGGTATTGTTTAGGACAGTTGATGAACATTGAAACAGTGCACATGTATTGTTTAGGACAGTTGATGAGCATCGAAACAGTGCACATGTATTGTTTAGGACAGTTGATGAGCATCGAAACAGTGCACATGTATTGTTTAGGACAGTTGATGAACATTGAAACAGTGCACAGGTATTGTTTAGGACAGTTGATGAACATTGAAACAGTGCACAGGTATTGTTTAGGACAGTTGATGAACATTGAAACAGTGCAGAGGTATTGTTTAGGACAGTTGATGAACATTGAAACAGTGTACAGGTATTGTTTAGGACAGTTGATGAACATTGAAACAGTGCACAGGTATGGTTTAGGACAGTTGATGAACATTGAAACAGTGCAGAGGTATTGTTTAGGACAGTTGATGAACATTGAAACAGTGCAAAGGTATTGTTTAGGACAGTTGATGAACATTGAAACAGTGCACAGGTATTGTTTAGGACAGTTGATAAACATTGAAACAAGGTATCATTTATGACCTTTTTTATTAACTATTACAAAAAGGGACAGAAAGAGAAATAGACGGTAGCAGATAGATGTAAGGACAGACTGCCAGACACACATACAGCCAAACAAAAAGTTAGATGGACTGACATACATATAAATGGATGGATGATAGACAGACATATGAATATATATATTATATATACATATATATAATGAACAGACAGATAGATATAAAGAAAGTTACAAGGACAGGTATCTGAATGGATAAAAAACCCGGATCGACAGACAAGAAAAGACAAAGGATAGATAGATAATCGATAGACAGAAAGACCACCAATCAGTCAGACAGAAACGGACAGACAGACAATAATATAATTAGACGAGAACAGAACCCTGGTTTGTCTGGCAACCCTTTGATCGCTTCACTAGAAACCAGGCCCGACCTGTTGCTTCTGCTCACAGAAAAGCCCAGATCTGCTGTAATCACACGGATACACCTTAAAGGTTAATGGCAACACCAACAGACAAGACACCTGCATACCTTCTCTGACAGCGGTCATGATGAACTTAAACCCGCGTCCTACTGGTCCATCCGAGTCTGTTCTGTGAAGAAAAGAAAGGCGATACAGCAACAAAGTCGATAACACAGGCAATAACCAGATCATGGCTCAGTAGTTAAAGAACTGACGTCACTTCGCCGGGGAACATGTTCATAAACGCACCGTCTTCGTTGGTAACAATTCATTCATCTGCGAACGGTTCGTCAACTGACTGGTAGACAACTTAGTCGCCGGTCGGGACAGTATTTAGTCGCCGGTCGGGACAGTATTTGGTCGCCGGTCGGGACAGTATTTGGTCGCCGGTCGGGACAGTATTTGGTCGCCGGTCGGGACAGTATTTAGTCGCCGGTCGGGACAGTATTTGGTCGCTGGTCGGGACAGTATTTGGTCGCCGGTCGGGACAGTATTTGGTCGCCGGTCGGGACAGTCTGTCTCCTGTGATGGCATCAACATGAAAGCAATTATTGTCACTGCTCTTGGTTGCGTGCAAGGCTAAACCATGTCCTATTAGCGCATATAAACTAGCCACAATTATAACCTGAAAGCTCCCTGATCGGGGAGGCTGGTTGAAAGTGACCATTTCTTTTTCCCTAGCAAAGCACCGAAACATCTTCAATAAATATATATATTTAAAACGGATGACAATAATTCTGTGACCGTGCCCTAGACGCTCACATAGTCCACATTTAGCACTAGTTATACTGTATGTGGTAGTTAACACGTTGTGGAATATGTGTGGACACTGAAATAGGTTGAGGGATAATTGCATAAGTACTGATCGACGCCCATAACGATCGCACAATACTCCACGATAAATTCGCCGGGGCTCAGTCTTACAGAACAAAGAATAGACCCACTGGCCCCAAACAAGCATGTCCTAGGAGGCGCTAATGAAAGGGCGTGGACAATAATAAGAAGGCCTAGGTTTGTCCATACACACAACCGTCATCTTATCGAAGATTGGTACTCGGCTCTCACGAAAGTCTAGCGCTATCATCCAGACCACTCTTGACACTCTTCTCCCCTTGCCTCCCTCCGTGTACCAACTCTAGCCCTTGATGTGTGAGAGCGTGAGAGAGAGAGAGAGAGAGAGAGAGAGAGAGAGAGAGAGAGAGAGAGAGAGAGAGAGAGAGAGAGAGAGAGAAAGCGTATCTGTGTGAGGTGCTGCCAAACGACAAGTTACATTGAAACAGAAGCCAACATTTTCGGATAAACGGTTACAATCCAAAATTACAATGATATAGCTAAACGGACAACGCCTAAATAAATCATTCACGCTGCCTTTTTGTTGGGGGATTTGGGGGGATGGGGGGGGGGGGGGGGGGGGGCTGAGAGCTCTCTCTCCTCAAACAGTGAATTGTTTGTTTCCGGTTTGACTGATTCTACCTGACCTCCCATTCGCAGGTTATTTTCCTCGGGGTTTGAAAGAACCTCATCTGCGCTTCCATCTTCTTTCTGTCTTCTGCTCATCGCCATCATCTCCTCCATCATAACCATCCTCTTATTTTATTGCTGATGCTTCTTCTCCCCCAGATCAGCCAGCAATAGAGTGTGTCGTCAACATTCCCCCAGATCAGCCAGCAACAGAGTGTGTCGTCAACATTCCCCCAGATCATCCAGCAACAGAGTGTGTCGTCAACATTCCCCCAGATCATCCAGCAATAGAGTGTGTCGTCAACATTCCCCCAGATCAGCCAGCAATAGAGTGTCGTCAACATTCCCCCAGCAATAGAGTGTCGTCAACATTCCCCCATCAATAGAGTGTGTCGTCAACATTCCCCCAGATCATCCAGCAATAGAGTGTGTCGTCAACATTCCCCCAGCAATAGAGTGTGTCGTCAACATTCCCCCAGCAATAGAGTGTGTCGTCAACATTCCCCCAGCAATAGAGTGTGTCGTCAACATTCCCCCAGCAATAGAGTGTGTCGTCAACATTCCCCCAGCAATAGAGTGTGTCGTCAACATTCCCCCAGATCAGCCAGCCCAGATCAGCCAGCAATAGAGTGTGTCGTCAACATTCCCCCAGATCAGCCAGCAATAGAGTGTGTCGTCAACATTCCCCCAGCAATAGAGTGTGTCGTCAACATTCCCCCAGCAATAGAGTGTGTCGTCAACATTCCCCCAGCAATAGAGTGTGTCGTCAACATTCCCCCAGCAATAGAGTGTGTCGTCAACATTCCCCCAGCAATAGAGTGTGTCGTCAACATTCCCCCAGATCAGCCAGCAATAGAGTGTGTCGTCAACATTCCCCCAGATCAGCCAGCAATAGAGTGTGTCGTCAACATTCCCCCAGATCAGCCAGCAATAGAGTGTGTCGTCAACATTCCCCCAGATCATCCAGCAATAGAGTGTGTCGTCAACATTCCCCCAGCAATAGAGTGTGTCGTCAACATTCCCCCAGATCATCCAGCAATAGAGTGTGTCGTCAACATTCCCCCAGCAATAGAGTGTGTCGTCAACATTACGCCAGATAATCCAGCAATAGAGTGTGTCGTCAACATTACGCCTGATCATCCAGCAATAGAGTGTGTCGTCAACATTACGCCAGATCAGCCAGCATTAGAGTGTGTCGTCAACATTACGCCTGATCAGCCAGCAATAGAGTGTGTCGTCAACATTCCCCCAGATCATCCAGCAATAGAGTGTGTCGTCAACATTCCCCCAGATCATCCAGCAATAGAGTGTGTCGTCAACAGTCCCCAAGATCATCCAGCAATAGAGTGTGTCGTTAACATTCCCCCAGCAATAGAGTGTGTCGTCAACATTACGCCAGATCAGCCAGCAATAGAGTGTGTCGTCAACATTCCCCCAGATCATCCAGCAATAGAGTGTGTCGTCAGCATTACGCCAGATCAGCCAGCAATAGAGTGTGTCGTCAACATTACGCCAGATTATCCAGCAATAGAGTGTGTCGTCAACATTACGCCAGATCATCCAGCAATAGAGTGTGTCGTCAACATTACGCCAGATCATCCAGCAATAGAGTGTGTCGTCAACATTACGCCAGATCATCCAGCAATAGAGTGTGTCGTCAACATTACGCCAGATCAGCCAGCAATAGAGTGTGTCATCAACATTACGCCTGATCATCCAGCAATAGAGTGTGTCGTCAACATTCCCCTAGATCAGCCAGCAATAGAGTGTGTCGTCAACATTCCCCCAGCAATAGAGTGTGTCGTCAACATTCCCCCAGATCATCCAGCAATAGAGTGTGTCGTCAACATTCCCCCAGCAATAGAGTGTGTCGTCAACATTACGCCAGATCATCCAGCAATAGAGTGTGTCGTCAACATTACGCCAGATCATCCAGCAATAGAGTGTGTCGTCAACATTACGCCAGATCAGCCAGCAATAGAGTGTGTCGTCAACATTCCCCCAGATCAGCCAGCAATAGAGTGTGTCGTCAACATTCCCCCAGCAATAGAGTGTGTCGTCAACATTTCCTCAGCAATAGAGTGTGTCGTCAGTAGTTATGTGCGGTAATTGAGGTATTATTTCGATTAAGCCACCTTCTTTATCCTTAGTAAAAGATGGCGGCCAAAAGTGATTGGTCTGTTCGTGTGGCTTTATATATCCTTAGTAAATATCGATCGGGACAGCCACCCTCTTTGTCCTTAGTAAATATCGATCGGGCGGTTGGTGATGGTAAAAGTGATTGGTTTTAGGGAAAGGTATAGGAAATCGATACTTTGTAGATGCATTATTATCTTCATAACTGCAGGTGACAGGTGGCGTTATATAAAACGGGGGCAGGCAGGAACACTATTTAGGTGAGCAGCGGGGGCAGGGGACCCGGGGCGACTAGGAGAGTTGGTGCATCTATGTGGCTGTCTGTATAGGTGATTGTATGAGGGGAGCCGTAGGTGACAGGTGGCGTTATATAAAACGGGGGCAGGCAGGAACACTATTTAGGTGAGCAGCGGGGGCAGGGGACCCGGGGCGACTAGGAAGGCGGCATGATGACCGGGGATGTATTAGAAAGAGCAGATTGGCATCATCATCTATGTCATGGTAGCGAAGGTCGACCGCTCAACCTATACAAGAGAACAGACATATAAACATCGATATTTTGTCTCCATAGCAACTGGTTATTCATTGTCGGTATGTTGGGGTGTGGGTATTTTTAGGCGGATTGGTTTAAGGAAGACAAATATTTCTTTAGTGCAGGGCCAGCTGTTGGTTAAAAGTGGCGGATGATTCATTTCCCCATGGCGGCCAAATCTGCTTGGTCTCTCTGGGAGGCTGTTCTTTATCCTTAGTAAATATCGATCGGGAGGCTGATGACAGCACACTTGACGGGTTTCAGGGGAAAGACATATGGTGCATAAATCGATATGTTGTCTCCATAACAAATGGTTATTCATTGTCGGTATGTTGGGGTGTGGGTATTTTCTTCGGGGAAAGGCAAATATTTCTTTAGTGCAGGGCCAGATGTTAGTTAAAGTGGCGGATTACCGGGGATATATTAGAAAGGGCGACTCGAGCGCCATCATCATCATCTGTGTCATGGTATTGAAGGGATGGTTTGAGCTGTAGTAAAAAGGAGGACATACGACAGAAGGGTAGCTGTCTTGTCATAGTGTCGAGGGCAGAAGAGAAGGGGCTTACCTGACATCGGTGAGCAGCGCGGCGGGCGGGGCAAGGGACACGGGGCGACAGGGCGACTAAAACGGTTGGTGTTGGTTTATGGGTTCTGTAATAGACAAAAAAAAAAAAAAATTAGAAGTGGGTTGTTAGCGGGAGATATATATGTTATAAAACGAAACAAGTTACGGGATATGAAAATAGACAGAGGCAGCAGTGACAGCCGGCAGAGGGGGAGGGGGCGTTTTAGGGTTTAGGTAAAGAAACCTAGAAAGGTGGTTTGATGACCGGGGATATATACTAAAGGGCGACTTGAGCGCCATCATCATCATCATCATCTGTGTCATGGGAGCGAAGATCGACTGCTCAGGGATGGTTTGAGCTATAGTAAAAAGGAGAACGTACAATAGAAGGGTGGGCGGCTTGTCATAGTGTTAGATGTTGATAGTTTAAGTTTTA